TCAGGAGATCGTTTCGCAGATTTCGAGCACAGATTCAGAAACAGAATATCGAAGTAATCTTATGGTATAACTCGCATATCAAACAGTCACGGTCATCAGTTATCTTTCCCTTGTAAGGCTGCCATTTGAAACCTCATGAAATGATCTGCACTTTCCGGTTTGAGTTTCTTCAGTTTTCTCCTTTTTCTGTGGGTTGGCCTTTTTGGGGTAGTCTTAGCAGTTCTTGATGAATAGAAACAATAAATCAAGTACTGAATAGAAGATCTTTCTTATTTTAGGAAACATCTTTCTCTGGGGTGACTTCGATCAGCCATTACCTGGTATGCCTCCTGGTGGCACTCATCTGCGCATCATGAAGGTTTCGGGAATGGACAAAGCTGGGCATCCTCCTCCATACGACGAGTCTGTATCGCAACCGCCGCTTTACCCTGCGCTGAATCCTTCTTACCCCAAACCTGGTGGTGCTGCTCCGCCGTATCCTGCTTACAATCCGGCTCAGACCAATCCAGGGTATGGAGCACCACAAAATCCCGGCTATGGAGCTCCACAGCCAGGGTATGGAACCCCTACTCCCGGTTATGGAGCACCCCAGAATCCAGGTTACGGAGCACCGTCACAGCCTTCACAACCATATCCTTACGGTGGTGGCGGCGGAAGTGCTTATGGCGGTGGTTATGGCGACGAGAGTCACGGCACCGAAGGATTCCAGCAGTTTCCCGCTGGACCGAATCAAACTGCTTATTATCCTCCACCGAAATCGAAGAAAGACTGCTGCATTCAGTAAGAAGACGGCTTCTTTTTCTCCGGTATCTGTACATAGTCAACTGAGACTTAACTTACTACAACCGTGAGAGTAGACTTCCAGGCCATTGCTTACCTTTCCTTTTGGTTATTCGCCAGTGGTGTCGACGTGTTTGTAAGCATACTTCTGCTTTGATATCGATGTTGCTATGTATGCGCTTTCCATTTTGCAGTACATTACTACCTATATAATGTTTAAAAATCCCAGATATAATAAATACATCTCACATTTACAATAAATACATCATACATTTTTCGATGGACATAGATCAAGTACACAATTTCACCATTTACACAACGCACTTTGCAGTACTTTACTACCTATATAATTTTTTTGAAATTTTATAGAATAACTACGGCTCACATTTTTCGACAGACATAAAGTATCCTCCTTGAAGGCAGTGTCCCTTCAAAATTTCGTTTCTAGTTTTTTACCTCGGGGCCTTCTCGCCATACGGAAGCAATATCTAAGCTTTTCAACGTTTGCAAATGGCAAGAATGAGCTTTTTTCGTGGCCTTCCGTGTCCGCGTCCGCCTCAGATTACACTTAAGAAGTGGGCGGGGTCCGGACTTCCGCAGTGGATTCTGGACTCCAGAAACTGAAACTTTTTCGTTACAAACTCAATTGATAGGTTATTTGGTGGTTCGCCGTTAGAAGTTTGTGAAATCCCGATAACCAGCTTGAAAAAATGGAAAAGGAGCGTCTCGTACTTGTGTTTAGGGCACAAGGTATAGTGCTCTCTGAACATTTTCAGAGATTTCAGGAGCGTTCAGTGGTGTATTGTTTTTAATGTGAGAAATTTATTCGGTTACAGGTCGCAGTTTTGTCTATTCATGTGTAATTTTCCCCTGGCGTACCATTCAAACTCTTCGCCGTTCACTGAATCGTAGAAATCCTGTTCCAGCCGTCAGTGATCATAGTTGATTAGCACTTATGTATCATTCTATACTATTACTATTATTACTATTACTATACTATAGTATTTGTATTCGTTCAACTGCATACATACAGGGCTTATCAAATGCAGTGTCGGGTGCACCAACATCTCCGCTCTCGCGCTGCCCATTCGCCTGGGACTTTTCTCTCGCGACATGCTTCTTGATCACGTTCCCCCCGCCAGCGTGAGAAAGG